TGCAGCAGGCCTGCTGCATAAAATTCAAATTTGGGCTACGCATTTATTTATTTATTTATTTATTTATTTATTTATATTCCAAATTTAGTCACCACCCATCTCACTCAAAGAGTGGTATACTTTAATGTATATTGATCTTAACATTATTGAACCAATTATGAACAAATACCACAGCTAAAATTAATTGCTAATTAATGAAACATCCATATTCAGCTGTGCACTTGACTAAAGATTTATAAATCTCTACTAGTCAAATAAATGCCTGATGTGTAGAACTTGCGGATTTAGAGTTCTGCACATGTTATCCTGAGTATTTTCCTACTCAGTTGTATAGGATCAGGTCAATATTGCTTAGTGCTCTTCAACTGTACAATGTAATGTAGCATATATAATTATCAAGAAAGTTCAAAACATGATTTTGAATCGTATGATTCAAAAATCGTATGAATTAACGATTTTTCAGTACGTAAAACTGCTTGAATGATTTTTATTTTACTGGAACACAAATCAGTATTAGCATTTGGGCAATAATTTTACTTGCCTTTATACAATGGGCCACTTGTTCAGAATGCCAGAACTTACCAGTCTTTACAAATCCAGGGACTAATTATTTGTGTGGTCAGTTGGAATGTTTTTATAATTAGTTAGTATAAGAAAACTGAATCAGTTTCATAAGCAATAGTTTACATACACCACATTTCAATCCTTCTTATATGACCCAGTTGCTTGGTATGTTTAAAAATAAAGCAGGTCAAATTCCACTTTGAGATGCTTGTGTAATTGTCCTAATAAGTTTCATAATCAGCCTTACATTTTGCATGAAAGATGTTTGCTAGATATAAAGGAAACACGCAAGTGCTTCATCATATCCCAAACAAAATATTCAGGATTCCATTGTGGTGATACAAATTACCAATCTATATTTTTCTGGAACACAATATGTAATTTTTTTCAACTAATCATATATAGAAATGCACCATAAACCTTACATTAACATGTATACTCAGTCCTCGTTATCCACATATTCTGTTTCCATGGATTCGCTTATATGCTTCTATAAAAGTGTAACCCATTTTTCATCAAACGTGGCCTCAACGCGGCTATACGTGGCTATGTGCAGTAAGGAAAAAAGTCTGACAGTCTCTGCAGTGTCATCATGAACTACACTGAGGGAAACTGCATTCTTGTTCTTGTGGTGTTTGTTATATGAATAAGTCTCCATGCGGTTCTGATAATAGATGTGATCTCACATTTCAATAACCTTGATTTCTTTTTCCATGGGGGGGGGGGGGCTTCAAGAACATAATCCCTGTGGATAACAAGGATTGAGTGTACTGAAATTGTTGATTATGGTATTATAAATGCTAATACCATCTTCATACAATGTGTAAAACTATTCAGTAGCTTTCTATCTAAATGAGTCCTGAACTTTCCAATCAGAGTCAGAATATGTGGGAAAGGTTTGTAAATGTAAGCATTTCCTTGCCTTCTAGAAAGGCATTCTGAATACTTCTAACTTTGTAGAATAAACTGAAAACTTGAAAACTCAGAATATAACAACACACAATGAGCCTATTAAAAACATTAAAAGAAAAATGTAAATAAAAACATCATTCCATAAAATGGTGCTGTGGAATTTTTTTTTTTAAGGATCATTATGAAGCTAAAAACCATCATGCCATAGTCAGACCATATAGGGAATGTTGTACACAGAATTATTTCACCTAAGAGGAAAGGTTACGTTTTTGGCTCTTTAGGGGAAAGTGAGAGAGAGGATATGATAATGGTGTGTAAAATTATGCAGGGTGTGAAAAAAAGTCTTTGAGCAGAATTTTTGGCCTATGGGCTAAAAGTTATCCACTGCTTTTGGATGAGTGTTATTTGTGTAAAAATCTAAAATGTCAGTTCCTCTATTAGACTGTAAGGGGGTCTATAAAAATGTGTGGTGGCACTCTGTTCAAGGAATTTGAAGGAAACATTATTAACTCAGGACTGACTCATTGAAACTGCATTGTAAAAAAGCCAAACTCAAAAGCTCTAAGTGCTGCAGCTAATCTCTGCTTATCCATGTCCTGTATCACAGAAATGATGTCCAATTCCTGCAGGCGGTTGCACATTCAATATAAGGGATTACAAGAGGAAAGCCATTGCATATATGGCTATTGGCTTCCCTGCAAGTTCATGTGAATTTATATGGAACTCAGTTTATCTGGTTTCTGACTTACGTGGAAGCCAGTGTGGAAAATAAATATATGAAAGCCTGCAGAAAAGCCATCATTACAACAATGCAGGAGATGATGAATTGGGAGTTATGCAATATGCTCATGAAGTGATGCTTGAACAAGTCTAAGAAAGACTTTATAATGACAAACCAAGCATCGGACTATGTTGCCCTGGTAATTCATCCCTTACTCTTCCAGGGTAAAAATAATCAAACTGCCCTAGGTCCTCATCAGATTTATCTGGAAATAAAGACATGTATCCTACACCATCCTGAAAAGAAAATTAAGTTCTTGAGGCAGTCTCCAGGTGTCATATTTCCTTCTCTTTACTACCAAATTTCAACAGGGATAGTGGCTGTAGCAACTTAGATAAAGAGAAGAAAGTTTCTTTCCGTCCATTCATCCTGCCCACCTGCATGCCTTTCACTTCATTATCTGTAGTATTTTATGCAGAAACTGTAGCTGCTTAAGGTGATACCCTTAGCAAGATCTCCTGCTCTATTAGACTTTACTGAAGAGCACAGCAGGACAATAATGATTTTTAAAAGATGGGAAAAAACCTTTATTTTTCCTACACTTTGCTTCCACCACTGATATTATCACTGGAAGGCAAGTAAAGGGGTGTGGAGAGAAGCCAAGAAGAACTGTGTTATAGTCTGGATACTCATCCAAACTGGAGAAGGTTTCAGGAAGTCAAAGTATTTAAAAACTTGTGCCTACTTTTAATAACAATGGACGTGATCCAAAGTAGGTTCAGATATTACTGACTTTGCTCTAGCTGTTCCTCTTGAATGTAATTTTATTACATCCTTCACCCCATTTTCCCTTCAGAGAAATGTGGGGATTAAAAAAAAAGTCTTAACATGCATATATATGCTATCAGAGTACATGTCTAAAATTACAGTCAGATCCCCCCAAAATCCTTCTACTCCTTTTACTTTACTATCTATTATTTTCAGATACAATCCAGTAAACTACAAAGCAATTCACCCTCTGGATTAATTTTAATTAGCCATTTAGGACAGGGATCAGGATATATACACATAAGTACCTGATCCACAGTTGCAAATCCCTCTGGGGAACATCAACTAAGAACACCACAACTATTTTGTGAGTTTGCACAATGTCCTGCATGTCCTCCAATTTGCTTAAAAAGTTGCAAGATAATTAAAATTTGAGATTCTAATGAACTCCCATTAAGATATTGTGCAGGAAATTGCATATTCACAAGATTTCAATCATTCTCACATAGAGTTGGTGCCATTTTGTGGGAGGAAGGGCAACAAATGCCTTGATGCTTCTAAGGGTCATACAGCAAGCTTTGTCCCCGCTCAATATTTCACTAATCTTATATTGTTCTTTCATTTTTTCCTCTCATGCAGGGATTCAATATTAACACATTTTGCACAGGTACTTATGAACTCCTCAACAAGTCTAGCATATGTATATGGAGAATGGCTTCCTGTGTGCTTGGAGAAATATTTTCTTCCTGCAGTCTTATGGCCATTACTGGCATTAGTAGCAGTTCCTCTCTGGATTTTCTTCTATATCTACCTATCTGTTTTTATTGTCCTGGCCTATGAAATATCTACTAAAGTTAAGGAAGAGACCCATAAAAGCTGCCATTTTATTTTGGGATATCTCTGGGACTTCTTTGGAAGAATATGGCATGGTAAGAAAGGTTTGTTCTTCTGGGTTTGTTTGTTCTGGGAAAAGGATCCTATTTCTGATGTTTATATCATGTGGTAATGTCACCCAAATGGCAAAACTGAAAAAAACTGCTTTATGTTTTGTAGAATGGGGATGTTTAAGGATGGGACTAGGAACTTGAGCTCCCAACCCCACTCTAATTTTTCAATTTTTAAGCTGAAACTCACAGCATCAGAATTCAGAAAATCATTGGCTTATTAAATGTTAGGTGCTTTTAGGGGCTGCAAATGTGATGCTTGGAAGCCTCGTGTGGCCTGTGGAGCATAGGTTGGTCTCCCTAGTCCTAATGTAAAGAAATTCCCCTTCTATCTTTATAAATAAGATTACCCCTGTGGAAGTTTCTTAATGCTTCAGGCTTTACGTCACAAGTGGAAGCACTGTATTTTCATGTGTCATTGTTGCTTGTCATTGTTTCTCGTTTTGTCCACAGTTTGCTGCAAAGATGAGAACTGAAATAAGAATGATTGGTACATAGATACATAGATTATATTATAATATTGAAGAATGGAGGAAATTAAGATATCAAAACCTAGCTGAATCAGAAAAAAATATGAAAAATATAGAAGTACAGTACAACAAGAATGGGTGCTATAAACTACTTTAAGGGATAGCTTACCACAGCTATATTTGTCTATAACACCTTCATACTCTTCCTCCAAGGAATTTAGGGCAACATATTACTGCAAAACTATTTTACCTGATAATATTCTCTATGTTAGATTAAAATAAAAGAGTCCAACCATCCCAACCCAATCATCCTCCAGATTTATGGACTTTTAATTTCCACAATTCTCAGCAATGGCCATTCTGGCTAAGAAAATCAAGGAGTCTTAAACCCTCACATCTAGAATGTGTCAAGTTGAGGAAGGCTGAGGAAGTACTCCAAGGCCATTAACTTAGCTTAATGGCTAACTGGTGTTTGGTTCAGATAATCCTGGTTAGTCCCACAATCTATCTATGATAATGTTCACTACCTGTATTTAAAAAATTACATTTAACTGATCTACTACATTAACTTGTTTCTTCATTCCTGATCCACTGCTGCAGCAAAAGAATAATAATTACTAGATTCTAAAAATATTTGACACAACATACATCTGGTATTAATTACATGTTATTCAGGAGATCTTTGTCTGGTTGTCCTGATTCTCTTTTTTTAATTGGAAGATAATAATGATGTCCTGGCTTGTTTATTCAAAGTAAAAAAGTAGCTTTTTGTATTATCCATACAGTACAGAACCTGGACATGAATTTTTATAATAAAATACTTCTGTGAGAAGCTTGCCTCTCTGTCATTCTGAACAAATTGAAACTTGCACAAATTAATGCTTGTTACACTACAGCAACATATGTATTGGGAAATCTTAGTCCTTCAGTTGTATTACTATTGCTTTCAACATGCCACATTATTTTATACTACAGTATATTGCTACCCTCAGTTTCAATATTAATATTAAATATAACTTCATTTTTAGATTTTAGTCATACAGTGATTTTATATATTGTGTTAGCTATTTTATTTTTAGCTATAGCTCAATAGTTTTATATCAATATTATTTATATGATTAGTATTACTATTACTATTACTGCTTTATACTTATTACTATTACTATTATCAGCCCTAATGAATCCACTAAAGGATGAAGGTTTCTTCATTGAAGGTTATGGACCATAGTATACCACACTGGTTCAGTGTTGGTAGGCAGATGTTTTTCAACTTCCCAACCCAGGTGAAAAAGAAAGACTGGCCAAAGTCACCCAGCTGGCTTCTGTGCCTAAGGGAGGACAACTCACGCTAGATATCATGTTATTATATATTATTATTATTATTTACATTATATACAGTTATACTGCACTATAATGTACTGTAGTTTTCATAGACATGATCTTAAAATACCTGCCTTGAAAGGGGCTTGTCTATTTGTAAAATGGCTGCCAAAATAAGTGTGTCAGTTACAAAGTATCTATTCCCGCAAAAGCAACTTGGTGAAACTGCTGTCTGTCATCCCTCCAGCTGCCTTATCAATTTCAGGTTATCTTTCCCTTATTTCTGGGCAGTTGGATGTACTTCTAAACAAATCAATGGGGTTACAATCACCTGCTATTTTTATTTTTGAAGAATACTTATGGGTTCTATCTAATGCCAAAGATGTTCTTATGTATAACGGTTGTTGTTAGAGGCTAGGACTTTGCAGTATGCCAGATTTCCATTTATTTATGCGTTTTTAATGAAAAAAACATTTAAAACACTAAAACCAGTTAGAGATAATTATCTGGCAAGTGGAAGTATTTTTAGGCATTAGGCTGCCTGCCCCTGTTCTCCATAAAACTCAAGGTACATAACTTAATATTTCCATCAGACCATATAATATTGTGCTATTTTAGTAGAATTAGAGACAGCTGTCTAGTAGTAGCTTATGCTTGGAGATCAAGCCTAGTCATGATCTGTAGACACCTTGAAACCTTTTTATATAATAAAGTCTTATGGTGTCTTTGATTATATGAATGACAGTATTCTGTTCTGTTTTGTATTAAAAACAGGTTATGAAATACATGGAATAGAAAATCTACCAGATGGACCATGCCTTATTATTTATTATCATGCTGCACTTCCTATAGATTACATTTTCTTTCTAGCAAGGATTTTTTTCCTGAAGAATAGACTGTGCTGTCACACAGTGGTCGATCGTTTTGTCCTTAAGTTCCCAGGTGACATATATTTTATTTATATCATTGCATTTATTAGATATATAGCCCATCTAATGTTAAAGGAGCTGCTGATGGTATATATTGTCCTTCTCCTGCCTCATTTTATTCTCAGACTCATATGAGGTAGCTCAGGCTGAGACTATCTGGGGTTCAGTATAAACTTAAATGATGGTTTGAGCTTGGTCTCCCAGACATATTTTCTTGGTGGTAGTCCCCATTTATAGAATTCCCTTTAACAGAAGTATGACTCGCCCCAGGTTGCCCTGTTTTACAGAAACTGAAGAAATGCCTGTTTACCCAGGCATACACATGGCAACAGCTGCTTCGGATGGCCTTTAAAATTTGTTTTCTTTCTTTTAAGTTGTATTTGTATTTTCTAGTTTTACAATGGGGATTTTAATATTGTTTTCTATTCTTCTTGTACATTGCTCGGAACAACTTCAGGAGGAAAAGCAGTATGGAAATAAAATAAATATTAATACAGGGGCATTTCAATTCAGGAACCACAGCTCAGCACCCAAAGTCAGCATAATATATACAATAGAGCTCTGCAAAGTAATATACTTTCACTTTGACTAAGAAACTGAGGCTATGAAGACGATTCGCTTTGCTTTCTTGAAAGAAAGAGGGCATCCAATTTGCCTTGATAAAGCAATTTGGGTGGCTTCAAATTACCCTGGGGTCAATGCTGAAGGAGAAAGTTGCTCCCAATCTTCTCCCTGAGAGCTAGGGAACTGCCTCAAGATAGGCTGCTTCAGAGATGTTCACTGAAGCCATCTCCTGTGGAAGACTTTCAGTGTGTGTAGGTCAGTACTAAGTGACATGTCTCCTTTAGTCATCTTTGCCAGCACAGAGCAAATGCTTCCAGACTTGGTGGCTTCAGAAGCATTCTCTGAAGCCCTCCAGCTTCTATACACTCATCAACATTGTGGGTAAAGGCTATTTTCAGTTGTTGGTGTTTTGTTTTTTTTCCATCACTGGGCAAAGAGCTTCCAGGCTGAGCAGCTTCAGGAGGTTCACAGAAGACCTTTAGTGTGCCCATGCCAGCTCTATTGGAAAAGACTTCTGTCATGCTTTCCCCCCAGTATTGGCTGAAGCACTTCAAGGCTGGGCTGCTTCAGGGGAAGCTGCTTCTTATACTGCCAGTCTATACTGGAGTCAGTCAGAAGACCCTTTGGATGTGAGAAGGCTGGCTCCCTTTGGATTTTGGGCTGGCTCCCTTCTGTGAAAAATCTAATGCCATTTCAGTACTTTGACAAGTTACTGAGGGGATTTTCCTGAAATCTCATGACATTTGGTGATTCCAAAGTCCTTGAAAACTCATGAGATTTCAAGGCCTTTGGATGCCTGTGCAAGATTGTGCAAAAGCAGCTGCTGGCTGAAAAGGTTGCTGATTATTGTTACAACTAACAGCTCTTGCTACATAAATTGTTTCCAGAATTGATGTGCAATAGCTCACTTTGTCTTCATACTTTGTCTAGCAATATTGCTCACTTTATTCAGAAGGGCTTCTTAAACCTCTATATCAGTGTTTCTCAACCTTGGGAACTTTAAGAGGTGTGGACTTCAACTCCCTGAATTCCCCAG